GTTTTACACAGCATCTTTTTCTTTCCAATTACCTACGCACGTGTTTACACAACGTCAGACCGTTTCAATTAAATTGTTTCATTTATACAGGGGCCGTGTTTCATACTACTCTGGAATAAAGAATATTCTGCAAAACGCGGCGCGCAACCGCATATTTTTATATTTTTCAAGCCTCCGGATTTTTCGGGACGAAGAAGAGAAAAGAAAAACCAGTGGAGGTAAAAAAGTGATGTAGGGCAGTGAGAAGGTAGAGCCGAAGCGTGCGTACACAATTCGTGTACGGAGACAGCATAAAATATGCAAACGTATACGATATTTCGTTATTTTTTGTCTTTCTCGTCAGCGGGTATATAGGCACGTACACTGAAGAGAACGAAGTAAATAATAATCGAACCGCAAACTGAGAAGCAACGGCAATAAATTTTCAAACAACGTTAATGCTACATCGCGTCAAGCAGGATATATCTACAATAATAGGGAAATTAATAACAGTCGAGCGTGAATTTGTAGAAAACGAAGAACTTTTTTTTTATTATATTCGTTGTGTCGTGAGACTCTTGATGATGGTTGTCGTGTGTCGTCTGCATTTACATACAAATCGTGTCGCAAACTCATTTTATTCGATATCGTCGCACGCATATTGCACTCATTCTCTCCCTCTCTCGCGCGCGCTCACTCTCCCCTTTTATTCCTTTATTACTTTTTCGATGAGCCCTATGTATGTACAGTCAGCTCGAAATGGGACAACGAACGAATTCTTACTTGGATACACCTTTCTCCTCATCCCCATCTCGCCGGCAGACTCCAGACTTTCTACTAAATCAAACTTATGTGTGTTACAAGAAATTACACCTACAGGAAACTTCCTTTCATGATCATAAAAATTTCGTGTGCATAGAAATACATTAAACAATACAAATTATTACATGTGCATACTTGGGATTGAACGTTTCTTACATAAAATATATTATACGAAGAAATACACAAAAGAAGATCAGCAGTCTACCCGCGAGAATCTGCAGACGACCCTCGAGAAAGAACGAAATTATTTTCGTAGTCAGAAATAATAAATTTACTAAACGGTGTTATTCGGTTTGTAGAATATCTTTCGTAAATGTTGATAGAATATTCAGCTTTAAGCGAGCTCAATCGTGTTATTTCCCTCGCCACGAAATGTTTTCGATCTTTCCCTTGGGGCGATACAGCCAAACTTGAAAGCACCCTCGCCTCCTTTTACATCTACCGGTTGCAAGTGCGATATGTACCAACGGATAGTTATACCTTACAATATTGTTATTTATAATATATATATGTATATGTATACGTATAATAGCTATCTATATTTATAGTACTTTTTCCTTTGAATCGCTCTCTTTGAACTACGTATACTTATATACAGCTCGCGATAGAATACCGCGAACACGACGATACACAGTAGCTGCAAAAAGCATTGGTATATGTATTAGAGTATCTATTATGTAACGTTTAATGAGATCCAATAATATCGAATTTTCCGTTATACAATGCCACCTCGATGCGTTTATTAAAACAAATCGTCGTTGAAGCAAAACATGAAGCTATTGTTAAAAAATATGGCCGTATACCGAAATATTCTTTGTAGCCACTGTATAGAAATATACGTTTCGAATGCATTTTTTTTAGATCTCACTGTCCTTTTTCTTTCTTCTATAAATTACTGAATAATAATTAACTAGGTAAGTCTGACGAGAACGAAAGCCCCGGGCAAGTCGATGATCAGTGAGCGGAGGACCCTTTGTTACGTTGCATTGGTCCATTCATTTTGAAACGCACGAATCATCGGCGCGTTCTTTTAGTTTAACCGCTCGTTCGTCTGAATTTCGCCCGGGTCTTTCCGATATTATACACTTTCAGAGTATACTTTTCGAGGACCGTCGTCGATAGAATTGTTTTAAAAAAATCCGGGTCGACGGAGGCGAGCCAACGATTCACTCGAACAACGCGGAATTGTAATTTACCGCGAATTTCTCAATCGAAATTGACTCTGAATTAAGTCAAGACAAACTTTCGATCATTTTGCTTTTATATTAAAAGTCGAGGAACAGACCTAAGCTTTTCACGTAATATACGAGCATTTAATTAAAATTTTTCCCAGTGACAATTTCACGTTCTATTTCCTTTCTCTACGATTCTAAAATCATATGAGTTTTACGATTTCTCGTTTGAAGACCGGCGACATATCGCGTTATTTAACGAGCAAATGGCTCGGCTCGATTCCGCCGATTAATTTTCGCGCAGTCGGACGATGCGACGTTGCGCTCCGGGAGGTGAATTTGAAAAATGCAATTTCTCGGGGGCAGAGCTAAGCCGCCGTAAAAAATCGTCCATTTCGGAATATGCATTTTCCCCCGTGCTTGGAGCATCTAGCCGGGACGTCGCGCACCTGCGGACGCATCTTATAGGAGCAATTTAATCAGATCCTTCCGATCCCTCTCCCACCCAATGTCCCCTCTTTCAACCCAGCTGCGCTCGCCCGTCCACGGAAAAAAAAAATGAAAATGTACGAACACAATTGGGACAGCAGCTGGGTTCCATGAGCAAAACTTATATCCTTAATGGTGACTTCTATCAACCGCTCCCTAACATTAAGAACATTAATTATCGATCGTTCAGTGATTAGTATGCGATGTATTGATCGGTTAGTCTATAAGTCCTTTTAGAAAATTGATCGTGCACTCGCGTACGGAATGTCTAATGAAATGTCTTATAAGAAACCCCCGTCCCACCGTTCCGGTGGAAGATATTAACCTCTGGCAGACTACTAGTCCCGAGCAGTTTCAAGTTACATCTGAATCGAATTCAAACAGAAAGCAGCAAAGCTTCAATTTCACTTTTACAATCTTCAATTGAAAATTCTGTTTCATTTGATAACTAATATTAATTTTCTTTAACAGATATCAAGTTAAGAAGACTCTCTCTCTCTCTCTCTCTCTCTCTTATTTTTACTTTGCATACCGTGATATTAAAAATTTTAATAAAAATCACGAAACTCTGTTTTAGGAATAATCAACGAAATTCCGTGTAACGTTCACGTGCAATCTCGCGGGACGCGTGACGTGTGTGTGCGCACGATTAAGTGCGTTGCCGGCGCGTAATCTGCACGGACTTTGCACTGCACACCTGCGCCTATGTGTGCGTGATGCATGATGCATGCACTCGCGCAGGTTCGTATGTATGCATGTCGCCTAGGCCAAACCAATGTAGGTCCCATTCTAATAAATATTTCTGGCGTATGTACGCGGAGTAACCTGGGTAAAACGTGTAAATCTTCGAAACTCTTTTTCCTGCGGTGACTCTCGGGCCGAGAAAATATTGTGTTCTCCGCAGAGCTCTGTTTGCGGGTAAGTTATGCCCGGTAAAAATTCAAATCTCGAGGCCTCAAGTTACTAAATAATTTTTCATACGATTCGAAATCGTTCGGGTAAATTAGGAGCGTATTTGAAGCTATAGGTTGTTTGTTTTCGAATCACTGCGTGAGACACGGGAGAAAAATCCGTCGCCCGTGAGGATTGATCTTCTGACTCTGAGCGCGGCTCTTTTCAGACGATTCGGGCGATCAGTGCCGGAACTTTCGAAGTTTCGTGGAGTACAAAGGAATTCGACTAAAGAATCAACTCCCTTTGTCCCATCTCTGGTTATCCGTGGATGGTCGGAGTTGGAATCGGGTGCGATTCGTGGGTAGAGCGGTGGAAAAACGGGGAGGCAAAAAGGTCTGATCGATATTTCGTGTTTGACTAGACGAGCGGGCGAATCGGGATCCCGATTTTAACGCGCCTTTAATGAATTTTGCAAAACTTTCTGATCGTCCGGAGAAAAAGGCGTACCCGCGCCGCAGCGAGGAATTAGAGCGCACGGCATTGAGAAAGGGGAGCTTCTTCTGAAAGGAAAACAGACGCGAATGAAAGGGTGAAAGGCGGGAGGATATAAGATGAAAAGGGAAACGGAGTTACGGGTGAAAAAGCTGGGATTAAAGAAAGGGAAGCAGTGGTGGCCAAAGCTTCTCACGACGAGAGTCATCTACCATCTACCAGAAAGATGATATTTTTATATGGTATCAGTAGCAGACAGTATTCTTATGTGAAATTAAATGTACGTGTCGTTTATTTCTTATAGTTATAACAGGGCTCAACAATTAGTACAAAATATAGCATTATGTTTTGTGAGAAGGAATTTTGTAATTACCTAAGAACTGTATTAGGGATTGAAAAGAGCCATACTCCGGTCAGCGTGAGAATAGAGGTAGGACAATAGAAAAAAAGGCAAGGGACTCGGGTTTGTAGCCTCTGAGAAAAAAGAACGTTCATTTGTCTTCGACGGAGCGTGGGCCGACTCAAGACGCTTTTCCCTCCTCTCAAACAATGCTCGAGCCTTCGAAAAATCTTGGGAAGTATATAATAGCTGTCCTCCAAAACCATGAGGCTTCCGCAGAATTTTTACTCCGCCATTCGCCTCTTTTCTTTATATTTTTTTGCACGCGTTCTCCTTCTCTTCCTCGAGTTGAAGTGATATTCATCGATCCGACCAGGAGAGATCATCGTCTCGCGAGCGTCTGCCCTATTGAATCTTTCATGAGAGAAACCGGAGACCGAGGGACACAGAGAAACGGAAGTCGGCTTTCATTATTGTATTCACCGCCACCAGGTTTTCTTTTATTTCGGTTACGTCGCGTCGATGTTTAAATTATTTCCTACCGTTCTCGAAGCAATCTCGGTAAATACCGGAGGCAACCCTTCTTCATCAGTTCATCACTTATTATTCACGATGCTTATCCTCTCGAATCACGCTTATAAAAGGAAGATGAAAAAAAGTTTATCGCCTTCGTTTATACTTCTTTTTCACAATCCTTTCATTTAAGAAATTTACTTCGCGAGTAAGTAGTTTCTTGGTTGATAATTTTAGCGAGAAGTAGTTGTACTAACATAAAGTAGCAGCTCTCCTCTTTACACGATCTTGAGATCTTATTTTTTGGAACAGGTGGTCGAGTTAAATGAATATGGTAATTTCTGAAATTTACTTGGACCTTAAGTGTTCTTACTTTCTTTTTAGTGGTATGTAGGTCGTTGCATTTGTTGTCAGTTTTATGTGCACACTTTTTTCAGTCCAGGTAGATATCCAGTTTTGCGTTCGGAACGAACAGTCGGTGTTTATAGTTCTGTTTTCCAGCGATATTTTTCCACAATGTCCGCAGCTCCCTATCGTAAATTGTCAACGACGAAATTCTTTGTCGTGCAGCATGGTCTATTATTGCGCTCGACAAATATATAGGTATATATACAAAAAAACACGTATATATCTATGTGAAAAAAACAACGTCCCAGTTATTTTCTCCACCCTATATTCGTATTGTGTTTTTCCACTACGTTAACCATTGAGTGAATTATTTGGAATGGTCGTTCTTTATATAATTTTCAACAAATTGTTATTCCACGTGTTTTAATGTAACATAAACTGAACCGAGAGAATTCTCTATAAAATATGGAATTCTCACTATTCAGTCATTGCACTTTTAATCGAACAACATAATTAATGTTTATTCAGTCATTTACTTGAACGTTAAATCGTAGGACGACTCTGCTTATCGAATACGTAACAAGGGTACAGAAAAAGTAATAAACTGCTTGACTTTTAGAGAATTGAAATTTTTATGCTTCAATTGCTTTAGTTTTATAAGAAAGTTGTTAACAGGAAAGAGAAGACCTGACTTTTATTTTACGCGGCTTTCAATCGCATATTAATTGACCTCCGAAGCGTTTCGAGTTTCGATGGGTCTTTTGTTCACTCGCAGAGCCATCGATCGTCGCTCGGGGGATCGATACATCGCGTCACGCGACGATTTTCCGACGCGCTATTTTCCATGTTCTGCCCGGATCCTTCTCGACCAATTTTTTTCTCTCCATCCGGTTTCATTCCTGTTGCTTTCTTTGGTCCACGAGTGTGACAGTTTTTTTCGAGCTTATCTACAGCGCTGCTGGCCATTTGCTCGAGCTATGTACCTGGAAACTTCACGGCTGCCCTGTAGCTACCAAGATCGCCGCCCATTTCATCCGTCCGAATTCCCTCTCTCTTTCTTCCTGGTCTCGTTCCGTCTACTCTATCTAGTCGTTTTATCCTCCCTCTCCTCCTCTTCATTTTTCGTCCTGACGGACACGATCGCGTTTCCTGTCGTGGCCCGAAAAAAGAGCAAACAGCAGCGCGGGGCTTTCGCCGCTGACCGATTCGTGTAATTTTCGAGGAAACTCCGTTCTCCGATTCGACATTTTTCGCGCCGGATCGAGGATGTCCACCGCGCGGGAACGTAAACACGTCCCGATGTTCGCTGGTGTTTTTTAACCCAATGAGAGAACCAGCCGAAAGTCGTTCCTCGGTTCTCTCTTTCCCTCGCCCGACGGTGGAACTCTACAAATATAATTACACACCCGCCAGGAAAGGTAACAAATGCTTTTTAACGAGACCGCGGAGACCCCGCCGGTCTCGCCTGCCCGCGTTTCGCGAGCTCTCCTCTTTTGCTGTTCGCCATAGATTTTTCACGCCTTGGATACTTAAGGGATAAGGAGGGCTGGTTTTTCATCGTCTTGGAGATTCTATTAGCTTACACACGTTTCGCTTATAATGATGGTGTTAAAAAAGATTACAAAAATTGTCAGAATTAAAAATTGCCACATCGTCCACACAATAGAGACGATAAAACGCTTTTGATAATTTGTATAAAAGGATTTTCGGGACATATTTGCGTCGTTCGATGCGAACGTGTGAACACATGTTCCTCCGCGGAAAGAGAGTTTCGAATGTGAACTGAAACTCGGAAGTACGTGACGCGTTACCAAAAATGGTTAAGAAAAATCGGCGAGCATGAGCACGTAAAAACGGTTGAAAATTGAACGAAACGCCGCCGTTACTTTAAGAACGGTGAACGACTCGATGCGCGAGTGCTGTGACGGTGTATGTATAGCAGTACATCTTCGAGTTGTCCGTCGCGTTGGCTCTGTTGGCTTCGAGGAAAGTAGAACAGCCCTCTACCAGGACTAGCAGTCGTCTTGAGTAGAGGAGGAGTGTAAAAGGGCTGCCACGCGCTCCGAAAACTCTCCGGACGCCGCGCCAGAGCACTGAAACAGAATTTATGAGCCACGAGTCAGTATAGAGTCTACAACGTCAAATATTTGCTATTATTTTTAAGTCGAATTTCATGCAAAAAAAGGCTCGCTGAATAAACGCCGCGCTTCTGACAAACATTTCTGTATTAACGCCCGTTTATTTCAATTGGACATCAATAAAACTCATTTAGCATTGATTGGGTTGGTATAGCACGCGCGGAGAGACAATAAGCTGAGTAAAAAACCACCATCTCAATTTATACTGGTTCATATAAATGATTAATTAAAATGCGAAGAGTGAAAATCATGAATTGTACCATACGATTAAAACGAGTCCAATCAAAATGAGAATTTACATATGTATTGATAAGCTGCTCATAAATGCAGTTTTATTGGATCAGATGCAGCCTTCAACAAAAATTTAATTATTATGCATTATTATCGCAGGTTTTAAAATCAAATTACGTATGCGCATGTAATGGCAGATTTGGTTTCGTGATTAGTCTCACGATTGAAACACGAAACAAAGTACAGAGGATTATACAATTGAGCACACATATAATATTATATGCAGATTTTCAGTATCACTCATCTGGCTGCAGTTTATGCGGGGAACATTAAACGAAGGGGATCGTTTATCGAAACGACGGCGCTGGAAATTAATAACTGGGCTTAATAACCGGCGGAAGCTTTCAGATGGTGTTTCGATTCCCCCTTTCACGTCGATGGCCGACCTTTCGAAAGAGTCGACCGGAAAAAAGTTAAATGAATCTCCGAGGAGTAGAAGTTTTCTGTACCGGGACGAGACGGGATCGAGCAGGCTTTATAGAGGACGCGTGCCGTCTCGTAGAGGGTATTGTTTAAACGATCCATCGGCTCGGAAAAATCCCTGACACCATAAAGCAACGAGAGATCGGTGAGAGGAGAGAACGAGAGAAAGAGTGGGAGGGGGGGAGGGGAGAGGAATGGCAACCCTTCGGGCCGGCAATGAAAACTTGAAAAGTTGGTGCTTTTTCATTTTCAGCAACGGCTCCGGCATCGCTGAAAGCGCAGACGATGCTGATTTCCCAGCGGGTATCGTCCATCTATAAATCTATACCCCGAGGTTGTTTAGTCGCTGCACCGACCCACCTTTGTCTGTGCGAATGTGTGCGTGTCCGCCCGCCGACGGGTGTGAGCGTGCACGCCAACTGTGCCGTCCTGTATTTTTCATTCGCCCCGCACCCTTCTCTACTCGCTCCCGCGCCTCACCCGGGAAGGAAACTTTTATCTTACGAAAGTTTATATCTTCCGGGTTCGATCGAGGGGGACCGAGAAAACAAAGATTACGCTCAATCGAAACGGTCGATCGATTGCCGTCGGAATTTATTCGCATCGCGACCGATAAACGCGTCACGATCGCCCGTTGGTTTCATAAATATTTCGTGTTTTGGAACGTGAACGGAATAGAGGAACGGCGGATAGTCGGTCGGCTGGTTCAACTTTTATATTAGATTGTACGAGGCCGCACGGAATTTCTAATTCCTATTCCAATCGAGAATTCTACAACAAAACTGGTCGAAAACAACGGTTATGTAACCCACGTCTTTACTATTTAATTGCATAACGAACCAAATATTTGATAGCATCCGAAATGAAAGGCCAACAAATTGAACATGTACAAATAGTATCTACTATGAAACGCAAAATGTAGTATTCTGTTTAGAACAAATTTTAGTGGAAAACGAAATTTCTAATTCTTATTGTAAAAGATAAAACTGACTGAGTATTCTGCAAACAAAATTATGTTAAAAATTAATTTAATGCAATAAAAGTATAAAAAGTAATATTATAATTTTATTTCTTAATTGTATAACGCATCTGAACGTTAATGAGCATCTGGAATTAAAAACTAATAAATCTGTGCACAATGCTATCAGTGCAGAACAAATTCTGATAGGGGAGGAAACGGAATTTCTAATCCCTATTGTAAAGAGGAAGAATGACTGAACATTCTATAGCAATTTTATAATCTAATTGGATAATGGATCAGACATTTGAAAATGAGCATCTGGAATCAAAGATTAATGAACATGCACTGCATGAACGTACATGCCACACAATGGTATTTACTACAAAACAAATTCTAACCACACTAGTAATGTATGAAATGTTTGATAAATTGTTTGCCGAGAAACAAAAGCTTCTATACCGAGTTTGCGGACAAAGAAACGAAGAAAATAAAAAACCGGATGAGAGAAATGTTCCATGAAATGGAGTTAAGGGAGCGCAAGTAGCTCGGGTAAAAATGTTAAAGCTTTTAATTAACTTGCATCAATGAACACGGTTTCGAGGTATCGCCGGGAAATTTTTTTCAAACACGTCCGGGTTTAATATGTGTGTGACCACGTGAAAGAAATCGCGAACAATGAAAGCTCGCATCAAAGAATAGACATTTTTTCAGTCATTGTTCCCTGTTTTCACGAAAATTTGTAACGGTGCATGGTTTGAATAACTGAAATTCTTGTAATGATATAACTTTGATAATTCAATTTATAGAGGAAAGTTTAATTAGGGACAAAAATCTCATTCAACAAATACAAGTGTTTGCCCTATTTTATTCTTTGTTTGAAGATTGGTTGAGGCATGTCAGAGAACTTTATAATAGCTTTATCTAACTTGCAATATCAGCTTTTTCTTATTAAGTGGTTATGATTTTTGCTTTATATTATTTTAGCAACATTTCCAAAAAGGAGACAAGAATTCAGAGGTGTAAAATAAGAGAAGCGTTAAAAGCAAGTGAAACGGGTTATGAAGATACGTGGTAGGAATATTCGAGCGTGGCTGAATTTTAGCCTTTTAAGGTCGGCCCGTTCAGGGTTACTACAAAGTACAGCTGTCAAACTATTCAAGGCCCTCGGGATATTTATTTAAGTATCAGTGTCGACGACAATTTTTCCCTGCAAGAGAATCGCTTTTCAAAACGCTTTTGCTCGTTCGCAGCTCGAATCCACGCGCCAGTTCGTTTCCACGAATTCAGACGCGATTACGTCGAGTCTTCGTTTCTTCACGCGGCGTTTCACTGTTTCTTATGCGCAAATTCAACGAGAGAACGAGAAGAGCATCAAACGGCAATTACGATTGAATCGTAAAAATCTGTTCGCTTTTTATTTTGAAACTCACGGCAGCCTTCATCAAAGTCATTACCTCGTACAGTATGGCTCTTGTAAAAACCGGTGTTTTCATTTTTTGAGCTATAGAGTTCAAAATTGGAAGTGGAGGATTTAACATTTAAACGAAACATGTATCATACCAGATTTTTGAATCGTTGCGGTAGTCGACCGGTCGAGGGAAGGGCAGACTTCAGGAATGGAATACTTTTTTACGCGTATTCACATCGAACAGTCCAGTTTCATTTTTCTGTTTTCAAACGAGCTGCGTGAGAAAGAAACCGTAAAAAGGAAAAAAGCACTGGTCCATTTTTACTTCGTTCACCCGTGATATTTGCGAAAATTAAATTAAACAGTGAAACTGTTTTTTAGTCGGCGAGGGGCGACTGGTCCGAGCCCCACCGCGCCGCGGGAAAGCTTGTCAAATATTTATTCAACCGGGCTTTGCAAAGTTGCGAACGTAAAAAACTTACTCGCTGATAAAACCGCTCGGCGGACGGTAAAACCGGATTCAATCTTCTCGAAGCGAGCGAGAGAAAACTTTCGACGAGGGCGTACGTGGTGGGGAAGAGAGATCGAGCGAAATAAACTAAGCGGCTGCCCGGGAATATCGCGAAACGATGGGGAATGCACCAAGAAAAATTGCTACCGAATAGCGAAAGTCCACCATTCTTTTTTTTTTTGATACTTTTTCTCTCGCTCTCGTTTTTTGTTACCCCCGGACTCTTTATTTTCCATCCACCTTCGCTTTCCCGTTTCGAGGACAATTACAGTAATGCTTTCGTCGTTCTCATCTTTTAGAATTCGCGGAACTTTCGGTTAGGGGGAAGGAAGCTGGGGCGGCAGTAATTCGAAGCCGAAACAATTGCAAACGTCCCCGAACCTATGCTAAACAATAAACAATACTAAATCTCGTTCCTCTTTCACCTTTGTCCTTTGTAGAAAGACTGACATTTATTGAATTCTCTCATCAATAAGTTTGCCTCAAACTAAACGAAAATGTCATGAAATTTGCGCAAAATAAGTGATGAACATTAATAAATCTTCTTCACCTTTCATTTACAATTAGTCTTTCCACAGTGGGATTAACAAGACAAATTGACATGTGTCCCATTTTTTCCAACACACAAGCTTTCGTCAAAACAAATGCAGACGTCATGAAATCCGTGCAAAATAAACAATAAGCAATAATAACTGTCTTTCATTTTCACTACCTATTTTCTTCACACAGGGACTGCCAGTTAGTTTATTGATTTGTTTGCCACTTAACTGACCGACAGTTTACGGTTTCGCCAAAGCGTTTATGCGATCGACAGCCAGAAAGCGGTGCGGACATATCGAGTACATGTGAATTTGATCCAGCGTACACGAAGTAACCATTCCGTCAGGCAATGATTACTGGGGGCGGTAGCTGCGAGGTGGCTGAAACGATACTCAAACACTATCGGTTTCGGTTCATATTCCGCGTGGCACGTTCTATTACAAAACAAATACAGATTAAACAATTAATGTCCGTGTGCGGGACTGCGTGCTCCCTTGTAAACTATCGGCCACCGATCAGATCGTGTTTACCTGACCGATTTCCAAGCGCCCTTGCGCTACGAAAACGTTTTCCGATTTGCGGTCAACTCTCCCACGCGTGTCGAATGCAAATAAAAGTATTTCTCGTTTATAAAATAATTACTCCATATTATTTTATAAAATTAATGATAGAAAACAGAATTTTTTCAATTCGATACAACCGCGATATGCTTGTTTATTTTAAATTGTTACGTAGCTACGTAAAAGAACAATGTGAAAGTGTTAGAAAATGTATGAAGGAAATATCACATTACCATTCGCTCGTTGCATGCAATAGGATGA